CTGGGGCTGGGGCTGTGGGCACTGCTCACCCTGGAGCTCTGCTCTGCCCTCTGTGCCTGGAGCGGTACCTGAAGTACCTGGGTGGCTCAGAACGGACGGGTTAGAGTTGAACCGCAGAGCTCCAGCCCTGAGGCTGAGCGTGGAGAATGGCTAGAGATTAAAGCATTGCAATGGGAGCTCCTTACCAAGCAGCCTGGGCGGGCGGAAGATGTCCCTGCCCATGGCACGGGTGAAACAAGATGAGCTTTGTTGTCCTTCCAACCCCAAACCACTTTGTGACTTCTGTGTTACACAATTGCATCACTACCGTTTTTTCTCTCTGTATGGGAAAGGGAGCAGAGAGTGGAAACCAACCCACTGCTAGTAACCATTGTCACAATTGCCTTTACCTTTGAATTATCAGGGCAGGTTTTGCACAGTTCTCCAGCTTCAGGAACCAGAGCATTGTAACTTACCAGCTGTGAGAATGTGCCGTGTTTGTCAGGGTTTGGCTGCTCTGTTGTCCACAAGGGAAGCAAAGCAGCACAGTCTGTGAGGAAACTCTGACTGGAGTTAGTTAGACATGGTAAATAACAGAAGTAGGAATTCACGAATGAAACCTTCTGTTCCAGAGGACGAAGACTTCTCGGTCCTTTTAAAAGCTTTGGAAGGTGAGTCGAAGAAATTAATCTCTTATTCCAAGGGGCTGTTTTCTGGGCACTCAGGAAGGGCTTGGCTGAAGATCAGTGGTGAAAATGCAGGTGCATTGTATTAATGAGCAGGGGGTTTGTTCTGAACTTTGGATTAGTCCAGCAGTGGTTTAGGAGCAGAATTGGAATACACGAGTGCAACATGTGGATTCAGTGAGAGGGAGTTGTCAGGGAGAATGACGTTTCTCACTCCACTCTGAACTGCAGTTTGTTTCCTAAGCTGTCACACAAACCCTGCACAGGCACCTGCTGGGAGGGAGGGAGGGAGGGAGGACTTTGCAGCGGCAGTGTGAGTTGATCTACTGAAGCAGCTGATTGTGGTGCAGTTGAACAAATGCTTTATGAAAAGTGCTTTAAGCAGAGCAGAATTTATTGCCATGGTAGTTTGTCAGTTGTAGCCTTGCTGAATTTCCCACTGCCTTACTAAATCCGTGCTTGTGAAGAAGTTCTTGCAGTGGGAAGGGGATGTTGAGTACTCTGTGGCCACTCTGACACCAAGCACATGTGTATTGGCCAACTCTAACCAGTTTATCTCCTGCAGATTACGAGAGGTTTATTGGTGAGGGGGCCAAGCTTCCAGCCTTGGTGTGTGTGATAACAGGTGAGACTTTGTGCTGCAACTCTTTCAGTGCTAGCACAGAGCACTTCTTTGTCACACCTCTTCTGTGCTGGCTCTCTGCTGGTGGTGAGGAGAGAGCAGAGCCTGCTGTCTTTGTCTGGTTAGGGGGTGGTGGTGCAGAATTGAACCGTGGAGCCATGGCATGTCTTTAAAGGGCAGAGGCTCTTGGCCTCCCTGTCTCCTGCAGCTCTGCACAGCTCTGTGTGCACAACAGCTGGAGCTCCACACTGAGATGATGCTGCAAAAGAAATGCAAAATCTGATGCCTGGAATGTTAGAGATTTTTATTTAGTGCTGGAAAAGAGTCTCTAGTGCTGCTCAGCAGCAGCTGAACATGAGCCCAGGTGTGCCCAGGTGGGCAAGAAGGCCAAGGGCATGGGCTTGTACCAGCACCAGTGTGACCAGCAGGACCGGGGCAATGGGGAGGCACCTCCAACCCTGGGGGCAGTTCTGGGCCCCTCATGGCAAGGACACTGAGGGGCTGGAGATTGTCCAGAGAAGAGAATGGAGCTGGGGAAGGGAGCTGGGCAGTGCAATGCAGCTGAGGGGGCTCAGCCTGGAGAAAAGGAGGCTCAGGGGGAACCTTCTCACTCTCTCCAACTCCCTGCCAGGAGGGGCAGCCAGGTGGGGTCAGGCTCTGCTCCCAGGGAACGAGGGACATGATGAGGGGAAACAGCCTCAGGTTGTGCCAGGGGAGGTTCAGGTTGGATATTGGGAAATTCCTTGATGGAAAGGGTGGTCAGGCACTGGCACAGCTGCCCAGGGCAGGGCTGGAGTCACCACCCCTGGAGGGATTTAACAGCCATGTGGATGTGGCATTTGGGGACGTGGTTAGTGGTGCCTTGGCAGTGCTGGGGAATGGTTGGATCAGTGGTCTTAGAGGGCTTTTCCAGCCTAAACAATTCCATGACTGTGTATAGATGGCAAACTCCTTTAAGTCCTGCGTGGGACAGGTCCAGGTGGCAGTTGGTTTCAAGAGGACTTAGATTTTTGCATGTCTTCTGAGGATCATGTGTGGTGTCCTTGTGTACCTGATCCAGCAGGAGCTGGTCAGCTGTCTGCTGAGGTTCTCAGACCACACTCTTCAGTCATCTTGGTTTAATAAAACCTTATAGTATATATTATTTTCCTGTTTTAAACAGGTAAAGGACCTCTGAAAGACTACTACAATGGCCTGATACAGAAACTGCACTTTGAACACATCCAGATCTGTACACCGTGGCTGGAGGCTGAGGATTATCCTCTTCTGCTTGGTGAGAAAGTGTGAGCAGCAGCTTGGCACAGCTGCAGAGAGCTGGAACAGCCTGTGCACAGGGGCTGGGAGAGCTCAGGAGCCTGCCTGGAGCTCTGCTCTGCCCCCCAGGCAGCACGGTCTGAGGTGGGCAGGGGGGAGGAGCTGCTGCTCCCGGGAGTTCACCCGGTTTTTGCCCCCAGGCTCGGCAGACCTGGGAGTTTGTCTCCACAAATCCTCCAGTGGTTTGGATCTGCCCATGAAGGTGGTGGATATGTTTGGCTGCTGTTTGCCTGTGTGTGCCATACATTTTGAGTGGTAAGAGCAATTCAAATGACTCACAGAAACCAGTACCCTCACTAAGCAAGGGCTCAGCAGCTGCTGCAGGGTCCGAGTGAGGTCCAGGATTTTGCCTTTTGTAGCAATTGAGTAAGGGAAGCTAGAAATCCATTAAAAGTAACACCAGTTTCTGCAAAGTTTGGAGCATTTCCTGTAGCCTCTTGCCTTCAATGCCTGTGATCCTCAGTTTCCATCTGCCATCTCCAAGAAGCTTCCTCGTGTGTAGCAGTGAAGGGCTAGGCAGTTGGAATCTGTGGAACTCACCTTCCTACACAGAGTTCTCTGTGAGGATCCCACGCTGGGTCATGGATTTTCATCGGGGCTGGTTTTACAGCAGATTATTGCCCTGATTTTAGTGGGTGCCCGGGTGAGTGGCACACACAGCAAGGGCCTTGGCTATGACAGATTTAGTCTGACATAAAGGAGAAAGAGCCTTTCAGTGTCCCAAACTGCTTTCTCATCCCCCCGGGTTGGCGTGGAGCTCACGCCCAGCTGTGCTGGCACTGATACAGACCTGGTGTGCTCCTTTGGGTGGCACTGGGCACCATTCCCCATGTTCTGCCTTTGGCTCATTTTCCCTTCTGTAACTTCTTATTTCACAGTTTACATGAACTGGTGAAACACAATGAAAATGGTTTGATATTCAAGGACTCGAAGGAACTCGCAGAACAGCTCAAGGTAAGGGCAGAGCCAGGGGCAGCCTGGCTGCAGTGCTGGGGGTCAGCGTGTAGGAACGAGCCTCAGGTGTGACATGGTGGTATTTTCGTGCTTCTCCTGTTTGGTTCCAGATGCTTTTCTGGGACTTCCCTGCCCCCGGGGAGCTGGAGCGGCTGCGGCAGAGGCTGCGGGCGAGCAGGGCACCGCGCTGGGAGGAGAGCTGGGACCACACCGTGCTGCCCCTGCTGGGGCACAGCCTGGGAGGGGGCACAGCCTGTGCTGCCCCTGCTGGGGCAGAGCCTGGGGAGGGCACAGCCTGTGCTGCAGAGGTGACCAATAAACACAGCTGCAGTTTGTGACCAACTCGGGCCCAGGGGTGGCACTCACTGCCCTCCCCGAGCTGTGGAGTGCTGAGGTGCAGCCAGGGCTCTTTGCTGTATGCTCACCATCGCTTTTTGGTGGAGATACTTGAATCCAGATCCAAAATTAGAGTTTTACCCACAGCACTTTAGTGGCTGTTTGGGTATGGGGTTTTTGGCAAATGGGAGGTGCCTTTTATTTGAGTTGTTGGATTTCAACTGGTCACAGGTCGGACTTGATGGTCCTGGAGTGATTCTGGGATTTAGGTGAGGATACTTAGGGGTTCATTTTTTCAACCCCTTGCACCAAATATCCTCCTGTGTGAATTTTTGAGACAGAACCATTTTGTTCCAAGCCTGTGCAGGAATGTGGAGGTGCAGCCACTGGTGTGTGATGGCTCTGGGCACTTGGAGGGAAACAGGCAGGGAGTGCTCCCCTTGCTCTCTTGAGTTGGATGTGCCTTGAGAAAGAACAGGAAAAACTCTGTGAGCAGATGAATAGAAAGGAGAAACATCAACCCTATAATGAGAGTTTTAAGTGCCGGACGAGCCATCTGTACAGAACCTCTGAGTGACCCAAAAGAAGCTCCTGTGTGCTGCTGCTGGGCATTTCCTGCACCTCTGAGTGCTTCCTGATGGGGACAGAGAGTTGAAACCTGGGCTGGGTCACTGCTACCTGATCCCAGCACTTATGGCCTCCTTCAGCTCGAAGGGCAAGATGATCCTTCAGGTTTCAGGTTCCCCCTGGTGAGACACCTCCCACCAGAGCAGGTTGCTCAAGGCTCATCCAACCTGCCTGTGAACACTGCCAGGGTTGGGGCAGCCACAGCCTCCCTGGGCAACCTGGGACAGTGTCTCACTGCCCTCACAGGGAAAAATTCTGCCTGATAGCTAATCTAAATTTCCCTCTTGCAATTTCTCCCCATTGTCCCTTGTCCTTTCACTGCAGTTCCTAACACAGATCCCTCTGCAGCTTCCTTGGAACCCCTTCAGCTCATGCAAGGTGCTCTGAGGTCTCCACACAAACTTCTCTTCTCCAGGCTGAACAGCCCCAGCTCTCTCAGCCTGTCCTCACAGGGAAGGTGCTCCAGTCTCTGAGCAGCTTTGTGGTCTCCTCTGGACTTGCTCCCACAGTTCCATGTCCTTATGCTGGGGACACCATTAGTCACTGGTGATTTGTTGTTTCATTTTTACAATGCCCCAAGTACCTACAGACAAGAGTAAAGCCCCAGAGTAGACACTTACAGCTGGTTTTAATATTAAACCATTTATTAATCTGAAACATTCTTTGCTTTCTTGTCCCTGTGGGATATCTTCCTGTGATCCTGCAGGTGCCTCCAGTGTTTGCACAGCAAAACAGCTGGAGAAGAGAAGTCCACCAGAGTTCTGCAGCAGGAGCAGGGCTTGGTGGTGTTTTGGGTTCGCAGCCAGCCCTGAGGGGCAGCCCCAGCCGTGCACAGCCAGCCTGTGCTGGCAGCAATCTGTGTGTGCTGCCAGAATTCAGGATAACCTTGTGGCAGGGCTGACACAGCTCCCCTTGGGCTCCAGATTCCAGCTCTGTATGCTGGGTCTATGTAAACAGCTGGAGAAGAGTCACATTTGGCTGCACATCATAGAGAAAGTTGCTGTTGCTGTAGGCTGGAATAACCTGCCAGCTGATCCTGACTTTATCTGCGAAGAGAAACACTGAGAATTATATTTTTGATTAATAAAATGAAGAGCAAAAGTTGCATGATCAGTTCTGTAGCAGGAGATCTTAGTGAGAGCAAACCCCAGGCAAAGGCTCACCAGTATTTCTGGAGCTCAGCAGTGATTCTTCTGCTAAGCTCTTGGGAGCATCTTGTGCCTCCCCAGTTGCTGAAGTGCAGCTAACAGGCTGCCAAAGACAGCACTTAGAAGAGTCTATGAGGGAAAATCCCAAATCTCCCTATTTTATTTCATCTCCAGTTGGTTTTTAACCCTCAGAACAGGTAAGGTAAGGTAAAGATGTTAGGCTGTGCCAGTGGTTTTACTCCTTTAACTCCTGGTCAGTTTGCTGTTGCCCCCACACTTGCAATCCATCCCTGCCTGATGTAGCTGTCAGAGCCAGGAGCTGAGCTCAGCGTCCCGAGCAAATCCACGTGGAAAAGCTACTGCTCCAAAATCCACCTTTGGGATAAGAATCTCACTCTTGGACAAAATTCCTTCCCCCAAAATGCTCCTGTTCATCTCTAGCACAGATGAAGGCATGGGCAAAGAGGCAGAACTTCTGAGCACTTGATGCAAGAGGCACCTACCCAGTTCAGCCTGGAACAGGCGAAACGTGTCCGGGTTACGGACGGTGAAGGCGATGAAGACCTCAGGAGGTTTTCCGTCTGCTCTGCAGCTGGAGAGTCTCTGCAGGATACCAATGAGGGCTGAAATTATCCCTGGATCATACACCACATCTGCAAAAAAGGGAAATAGACAATACTGATTGAGAATTGAGCAGAAAGCAGCATGAAAACCACAAACCAGTGAAACCAGTTCCAGATTGTTGCAGTGATTTATGGTGAACTCCAGATTTATCTGCAGGTGAGTGCAAAAGAGGTTTGTGTTAGGTTTTTTCACCATGTCATCCTTCAGGATCACGCCAGGATTGTGAGTCGTGCACAGCTCTGTGTCCCCAGCCCTGTCACTTCTGCCTCTCGCACCCAGCGAGGCACTGACTGCAGTGAGAAGTACCTGCTGCAACCACGACGTCAGCCTGGAGACCCAGCAGTTGTGTGTCTGTCACTGAGCCCCAGTCAAGTTCTGCAACCACCACTTTTGGGTCTGGGCAGTTCTCTGTCTCGTCCTCCTGGCCCTGGGCCTCCCTTTGCCTGTGCCTGGTGGCTTCAGGCTCCAGGGCAAAGCCATTCAGGCAGATGTTTTGTGCCAGCTGTGCGAGAACACGGTGGTGGCAGTCACTGAATATGTATCTCTTGGGGTAGCAAGTCTTGCAGATGGCAATTCCAGTGAAGCCCATCCCACTTCCTAATTCCAACACTGTCCTGAAAGGTAACGGAGGGAAAAGTGCCATTAGGACTCTACAGTGAGTTGGAAATCAGAGAAGGTTTCAGGGAGACCTTAGAGCCCCTTCCAGTGCCTCAAGGGGCTCCAGGAGAGCTGCAGAGGTACTTGGGGCAAGGGTCGGGAGGGACAGGACACAGGGAATGGCTTCCACTGCCAGAGGGCAGGGAAAGGTGGGATACTGGGAAGGAATTCCTCCCTGTGAGGTGCTGAGGCACTGGCACAGGTTGCCCAGAGAAGCTGTGGCTGCTCCATCCCTGGGAGTGTTCCAGGCCAGGTTGGATGGGGCTTGGAGCACCTTGGGCTGGGGGGAGGTGAAACGAGCTTTAAGGTCTTTTCAACCCAAGCCATTCTGTGACTTCACAATTCTGCATGGATCTTGCCATTTTTCCATCCTTGCTGCTGCTCTTACCTGTCCCTGAACACCCCGGGGTTCTCCATGGCCCACTGGGCAAGGTGCAGAGCAGCCTCCCACGTGATGAGCCCTGTGGTCCCTCCGGAGACCATCGCTGTGCTCTCAGAGAGGGTCACACAGTCTCCTGTGGGCTGGGGGACACAGGAAGGATCAGCACACACAGCAGATTTAGAGTTTGCAGTCAATATCTACACCTGGAGAAGGGCAGGAAGCACTTTGGGCTCTAGGGGGGTATTTTTAAAGCCAGTCATTGCTCCATTCTGGTGATTACATGTGGTTTGTAACGATGCAGCATTAGTGCTTACCAGTAAGTAGTTTTTGTAACAGTGAGTAGATTCTTCTTCATTTAGAACATCTGCCAGAGTCTCGTACAGCTGGTCCAGGGGCTCAGCTGCTGTGGCTTCGTGCTGTGGGCAGAACAGGACAGCCCTGGGCATCACACTGCGCTGCTAGCAACGAGAGCCAACCGCAAGCTGGAAAACGGGCAGTACCTTCCTGATGAGCTCAGTCAGGAAACTCCTCCTGTACGCGGTGGAAGGGGGATACTTCACACAGAGAGGGTGGAGAACGGTCTGAAAGGAGAAGAGCCGTGGGAGGGGTTAGGGGAGGTCCAGGGAAGGCTCCGTGTGCCATGAAACCCTGCGGGATTCAGGCTGTACAAACGATGCTGAGCCAGACATTGAGACCTGATGGTTTCCATTTGGTTTGCGAGTTTGCAGATCAGTGGCAGCAACAATCTCACTTTTCAAAGACTTAAAGAGGAAAACCGTGTGGAGAGAGCCCAGCTTGCTCTACTCCTTCTTTCGCTTTTCTCTTTC